ACCTATGATTAATCAATGAATCCTTGTAATCAAAAAATAAAATCATTTATATCTGTTTTTCTTCTAATGTAATGCAAACAATAGTTGATAGGCCAAGAAAGTTAGTTGGATCTTATTCTAAATAAATAAAAATTGTGTAGAATCAATAATATCAATCACTCAGAAATTCTTGGACATCAAAAAATGACTGTAAGAATGAGAAAGATAGATATGTAACACATAGCATTATCTTTTGTCGAAATGAACTGAAAGAGGAAACTCATCCATCTAATAAGTTGCTTTTACAGTGTTTTTTAAATGAATGTCGTGTAGAGTTCTACAATTCAATCCGACCCTCAGGGAGAGTGTTGGTTGAACTATGAAAAGTGTCAGATTCATTGTTATACCGAATGATACTAAGCAATTATAATAAGGTTATTTTATTTTGTCATCAAAAACTTGAAAAATATGAACCAATAACATGCGATTCAATAGAGATGAGATAAGAGTCGATTGTTGTGCTCTTCTGGTAGACATGTTCTTTGCAAACAATATAGTTTTGAATAATTGCTATGCTTTCCAACTTTCGTAGCAGCACTTTTGAATCATGTAATAGAACTATTGTCATAAAGGTCTGTCCTAATGCAAAGCTTCAATTCGAAATTCGAAAATCAGTTTTTCTGTAGCATGGCATTCATTTAATAAAGCCTAGAATAAAAGTGCAGTCTCTCTACAGCAATAAGAAGATACAGGTATGAACTTATTTCGGTCTACATAATGCACGTAGTTTCGATTCAAAAGCGATTTATTACTTCGAGGGCTTCCTTCGTAAGGCTTGCTTAAGATCACTACTAACTATCATGTCTGTAAACAATACATTCAAGAAAAAAACGTTAGAACAGATTGTATCTATCCTTTTGATCAATCTGAATAGTTACGACAAATAGAAGAGAAGATCACTTGGCAGATATACGACAAAAAACTTTTGTCTGTATCCGAATGTTCATATTAAACCGAACTAGAATTTCAGATCGACGTTATAAAATACCTCACTATTGTATGACGATTGAATTGAAATAGAATTGAAAAAATTTTCTAAATGTTAAATTTAGTGATCTTGTCGAATATACATTATAGAATGGTATAAATCGAGAAATTATTTCAACAGTTGTTCATCTATTTGCAATCACTATTCATGTACACTATATTTATTGCACTGTTTGATCTCTTCGTAAGTTGTTTAATGAAAATCATTTTGCAAAAATAAAACATGTTTCCTCTCTTTCAGTGGGTATTTATCATGCTGAAAAATATACTAGCACTGATATGTTTGAAATGCAAAATGATCTTCCGTACTGTCCAATGTGTATTCATGTTGCCTCTAATCAACGCCAAAACTTCCCCTAGTCACCATATAATATAAGTAATAGTGATTGTAGTTATATATGTAAAACATCAGCTGATAATCAAGTTGAATATATTTGTCCAAGTGGACAACAATTAAAATTAGCTAATGATCGACGAATGTGTTTTTGTAAGTAAAATTGGAAACAAGAAAAAAAGAAAACCAACAAAGAAAAAAATATTCTTTTATTTATTTTTAGCACTTATCATCATGTGCTTCTAGGCATGCACCCAAACTCAATAGAAGAATTTGGGTATTTCAAACTTATCTCACGGACTATGAACTGTATCAATAAACTGTATCGCCATTAATTTTGAAGGAAGTCTGCCTTTGACAACTAAATGGAAAATGATCAAATGAGCTGCTTCATTAAATGAGATATTCAAAGAGAACTGAACAACCCCCCAAACCCAAACCCAATGAGTTTGGGTTTGGGTTTGGGTTTTGTGATTGACTCTAGTATTTAGTCTAAGAAGGTTGCCGAAATCTCTCTTTTGGTATTCTATAGTGTCATCCTCCTGCTTAAGTTTTTCACTGAAGAAAAACTGTTGTATAGCATGGTTTAGTAAATAAGGGCATTTTTCCTTATTTGGGCAGAAGTAACCCAAACGGTTTGGGTGCATGCCTATGTGCTTCAGTTAATTTTACTTGTCGCAATGGTCAATACCTTTCAAGACGAAAAGTTTGTGATTGTCAATGAGATTGTTGAGAATGCATTTCTTTACCATTGCTTTACTTAATCCTTCAAATATATAATGAGGGAATGGTTCATATATTATAACGAGAATTGGTATACGGTCTTTGATCGTATATCAACAATATCTGTCATAGTCTCGTATTTCAGAAGAAAGAAGATGAATTTCTTTTTGAAAATTTTTGTTTAATATAGATTGTAATGATGATAATGCAATTGATGAAGTCGGTTGTTCGTCTCGTATTTGCAACGGAATAAGTAGTAAGAAATGTGCACATAATAATATTTCTATTCATAGAACTTATTTATGTGGTATGTAAAACACGAAAAAAATGAATTTGATTGTAATTACGTTTCTTTTAACTATTTTTGAATACATGGCATGCTACGTACAGTTTCGCTATAGCAAACGGAAAAAATCAGACCATAGCATTGTCTGTAGCGACTTCCGCTGCGAGGTATGATAGATGATGATAATGATTGTAGTGATGAAAGTCCGAATTTTCTATCATAGTATTCAATGCAATACAAGTAAATTGATATGAAAATTTTATTTGTATAAGTTTATTTATTTTAAACCTAGCGGAATTTCGATGAGGAAATCGTCGCTATATACCATGTTCTAGGGTACATGATGGTCAACGAGATTGTATCAATGGTACTGATGAACCAGCTGACTGTCTTTCATCAAATCGAGCATGTCCAACTGGTCTTTAGGAATCTGATAATGATCTTTAGTGTACCACGTTTTTATGCTTGTGGTAACTATTATTCTATTAAAATGATTCTATAATGTAATTTATTTATTTATTTAACATTCGGATCATGATAATGATTGTGATTTGTTTATTTTATCTTCTATTTAAGGAGATGGATCATATGAAGTTGCTTTATGTGGTAAGAATTGTTTTATTTTTATTTCATTTTAACTTTTATTTTTACATAGCATCACAATATGGAAAAATTGTACTAATATAGAATATCAATGTGAAAATAGCCGATTTGTAATAAAATCAGCAACATGCAATGAATAGTACATAATTGTTAATATATTTTATTTTTTCTTTAGTAATGATTGTAATGATAATCAAGATGAAAAACCATCATTCTGTCAACGGACATACTTTTAATATCGAAATAAAAAATGTATACAGTATGAAGTTGTTTGTAATGGTGTAAGATATTGTACTGATGGAAGCGATGAACCACCTAGTTGTGGTAAGAATTTAAAAAAAAAATCTTGACAATTTTCAGTGATGATGAACATGGTTGTGTTAATTCATTAACTTCTTTTCGATATAAATGTTGTACGGATTATAAATTAGCATCAAATCAGAAATTTTGTTGGGATGAGATATTTATATATCAAGAATCTTTCGATTTAAAAACAATATTTTCAATACTTTTTCATGAGAGAAGTTCTTTTTATGGGACAAAAAATGGATTGAGTAGAATAGGACTGAGATAGAATCGATCTATCAACGATTGACCGGTCATTGATCGGTTTGAAATTCGTACTGATATCAATTCCATTACTGGAATAAGAACTAACGCATGCAATGACTTACGAAGAAAACGAATCGAAATGATACTTACTATTTTAGTTTCCATTGGACCTATAAGAATACCTTGGTGAGACTCAAGAAATTCTAAACGAGTTCGTTCTCAACGAATCTTTGGAGCTGAGTTAGGATTGTTTTAATAAATTTTCTATCCAACTTTTACATACGTATAGGAAAACACACAATGCTTTACTTTGTCGAGATATTCAATTTTCAAATTAACTTGATATTTGCATAATGCCTATGTCAACGATTATTTTTTGGAAATCCAATATCTCAACAATAGAACACTCGTTTCGATTGAAAATCTCAGGACATTTCACGAATTATTGAAGCTATATATCAGCAGAGTCTTAGTTCAGAATTCTGGTTTTCAACTTTTCAGTATATATGCAAAGCCTATGGAGACAAAACCTTTTAGAGTTTTTCTAACCTTACCAAAAGCTCAAACATCGGATATCAGTTTGGGTGATTAGCTCACATAGATGTGGATGTCGATAAAAAAAAATAAGTAAGAATTAACTTAGTCAGTAGATATTGGCAATTCAAATCAAAGCGAAGTTCGTCTCTCCACTCGAGATCAATATGTCTTATTTGATAACTAACGAAAGTCGACGTTCACATGTTTATTTCTGTCAATTTTTGATATCTTGTAGTGATTAAATTAAAATTCCACGAATCAGGAATATTTTCGTCAAAAGAGATAACATGCCTAATAGGATATTTAAATGATAAATATCGATCGATCCATGGCCATCATAATATTCTTTTAATATCACTGTTGTTATTCGTATAAGTAATAGTATACTTATAAAATGCATAACTTTGATTCATATAGATTTAGGAGTAATATGATTGTAGTTTTCAAGTTTTCATTTGTTATTTTTTTATATCTTACTGAAATCATTGAACTTATTCTGTAAGATCTATCCTATCTGTATGACATTCACTAATACTACTTCATGCAAAAAAACAGGTTTACACTATTCATAGAGATTATCTGTCAATAGAAAATAAGTTTTTTAAATTGAAACTTCTAATTTTAATTGATATTTAGATAATATATTCTGAGTCACCAAAAATCGAGACGATATCACGGTTCAATTATCTTGAGAAAATAACATTCGTTTCGATTGAAACTTGCCAGAGATGTAATGCTGCAACAATAAGTCACTAAACCCACGTCCTTTTAGACTTTTTGTAGTATCATCGGACTCTATTCATAAAATGAAGTCGAGTAGCGTTCAATAATTGCTAATATTTTGTCAATAACGTCCTAAATACTTCATGATTTAACTGTATCTCTATTTCATAAAACATTTCTAAGCCTATAACTATTTATAAGTGTTCAATCAATCTTTAAATACAAAACTTCCATTACAGTTATTTGATAATAATTGTTATAAAACTCTTTAGTGGAAGCTTTGCCACGAGTTTTTTGGATAAGACATTCAATGATAATGAGTATACTCGAAGGTGGAAACAATAATCAACTAATATGTCATTTACATTCGAGTCAATCAAGATCTGTTTAAACATTTGAATACAAACCATAATATAAGTTTATTCATGTTTTAAGTCCATAAAGAGTTATTTAGATTTCAATTCAATGTATGTATTCTTTCAAAGTTTTATAAAGGGTGAAATAAAAGATTGCATTAAATTCAGTGTGTAATTGATGAAAGAATAGCACGTGTCATAAACATAATAAAAGGTAAAATAATTTCGAACAAACATTCTGCTTGTTGTAACTTTCCAAATGTGAAGTCATGTCTTAATCGTAATATTGACATTGTGAATCATTTTTTTCCTTACATTATTTAACGTTAGATGTTATCAGTGTAAAACTCCAAGTGTTTTTATTCATTAACGGTATATATTTATGAATATTTTAGCAAGTCAAATGTCCAGTATTTAGCTAAATTTAAGAAGAAATTAAATAAAAATTTATTAAATAGTAAATATTCATAATAAAAGAACAAAAGAAAACAATTTGCTGGCTGATTTTTTTATGTATTGTTGTAAGAAAAAAAAAGGAAAAATCATGAAATAGTTTTTTCTTCTTACAAGATGATTTACATAACCCATTTTCATCTAGAAAACGATTTATCCCATCTTATACGGAACAATACAAAACAAAGAAATAATATTTGAATCAAATGTTGTTTTCTCTTCATAATGAATTCGTCATATACATCCATGGGACATAACCCATGTTGACTTTACATTCTGCGTTTTATTTTTTCATCCAATCCACATCATGTTAACGAAATATTTTCCAACTGATGATCAAGGGTTTTGTCTAAATTGACATTAAAAATTTATACACATATAAATAGGCTATTATATTTTCTAAAATATATCACTATTGAAATCACACAGACTATTCCTTTTTTATTTCCTAATAAATGCCAAATTAGTAAAATGACCGAAAATCCCTTTCGAATTATTGAACAAGATGAACAAAATTTTCTTCGTGATTGGTTAGCACTAAAAATTTTATATACAATACCGAATCGAAATTCTGAACGTCATGAATTTATTCAATTTTGTCAAGAAAATGATTTCTTACAATCTATATCTGAATTTGAATTTCCACATCAGGCCATCCGATTGTATACTCGATCATTTGGTTTTTCATCAAAAATTATAAATACTACTTGTCGAACACAAGATCCTTTATTAATATCAAAAATTCTATATTATCTTAAACATCTTCATGAACAATTAACACGACTTTATATAGACAGTCTTTTTTGGATACCAAAATTTATTACTGTCTATCGTGGTCAAAGATTTTCATTGGAAGAATTTCAAAGATTAGTACAGTATAAAGGAAAAACTATTTTAACTACTCAATATCTTTCAACAACAACTGCTTATCATATAGCTGTTGCATTTGCTGATAATAATGTTCATCCAACCGAATCATTACAAAATGAAATAGCAGTTATTATTAAAATTTCAATGCGAACTAAAAATAGTCGTTTAAAACCATTCGCATATATTCAAGAATATAGTCATATTAAAGACGAAAAGGAAATATTGATATCGATGGGAACAATATTTTCATTTGTGGATTTATGTCGACGCGGAGTAAGTGTGTTAGAAAAGAGTCAACAAGGTGTTGGTAGTTCAAAATTTGAGCAATACTTGCCTCGCGTTTCTTTTGTTATCGTTAGGTAGAAATGTTGCTGTTAATATATTCAGACGATTTATTTATAGTGGAATTTAGAAAAAATAAGAAAAGTTTATAAAACTTGAAATACACCAAGAATATCAAATCTTGGTAGCCTCAATATTAATCCATATTACTATTTTTTTTTATCTTACTCGTCATGTTTTTAGAAAAATAATTATGGGTGATTTTTGAAAAACAATGGTAAAATGGTATAAATATGGATTTAGATTCCAACATTTATATCCAATATTCAAAACTAATTTTTGTGAAATTCTCACCTTTGAAAACCACAAGTCAGAGCATTTGAAAATAACAGTGAGGGCTTGTAACGATGGAAAATTACTTGGGAGTGTTGACAATAGTAATCGATGGAGGTTTTGTCGTAGGCTCTGAATATGATATTTGTTTCTTTCCGAACAGAAATTCTCATAGTCAATACCTTAGACTACAAACACATGTTTATGAGGTTTTTCTATCATATAAAAAAAATCGAATGCAATTGAAAGAGATATTAAAACGATCGACACTTCATGCTCTTGGCGTACTTCGATTATTATTAACTTTTCTCATTTGTTTAGGGACTAATTTTTCTAGGTTTCACAACAAAAAATATGTCTGAATATATCAAAACAAGAATTCTAAAAGTAATTCAGCGAGTTCTATCTAAAATTGGCAAAAAGTGCCAAAAATAACATTGCTAAAACTTCGAATTACCAACACTTTAAAATTACGTAAAAAAAGTAACAAACATTATTTTGATAGGAAAATTTCTATGAGATATCATTGATACATGATCAAGTTGAAAAAGAAATTGAAAATGAAATATTATATAAAGCAATTGAATCATGCAATAATGGAAGAACAAATACTATAGCTGATTTATTAAATTCAATGAATATTCATATTCCGTTAGACAAAGATTTTTATTGTCGACCATTGATATCATTATTAGAAGAATATCCACTATTCAAATCAGACAAGATTATCAATTCGGGTAAAAATTTCAGAAGTTTTTCTTTTCGAATCTAGGAACTTTTAATAATAGTTTTTGAACAAATGTTATCATTATTAATTATGGAAAAACTACAAGGATATCAAATAGTATTCTATTAAACAATTATCAAGAGAAATTTTTAAAACATTGTAAAACTGATTTTCAAAGAAATCTTTTTAATGAATTGCCTATGAATGAAATATAAATTAAGTTCAATACACATTATCAGTACAAGAATAAATAGTTTTCAATACTCCATCGAAGAAACTTCATAAACAAAAGTTTCTTAGGACCAAAAGGAAAACTTCAATGGTACTCATTTTCATTTTAAAATCATTAGCAATTTACACAAAAGTAAAAAAAAATTATTTTAAATTTCATTATGCATCTTGCCTTATATAAAGATTTTTCTTCCTTCTCATACTTTATTATTCTAAAGAATAAGTAAAACCATATATATCCCTTATATCTGTTGAATAACAAAATTTATTTTTCTGGTGATGTTTCAGCTTGGACAGAATCTCCAATAATGTCTGCACGAAATCGGCCTATGGATGTAACTGAGGATCATTTAATTATATGGCTCGACCGGTATATCGGTCTAAATAATGCTTGTATTGATCTGAAAGAGACATTAGCAAATGCAGTTAATCTCACCATGGATGAACCTCTTATGGAACATACAATTGATAGATTAATTTTAAATGAAAGAACTTATCATTCCACAAGAGAATTGATTACTGTTACAACTATTGAAGAATGTTTAGAGTTAATTAATACAAATGATGATAAAAAAATATTTTTAATCACTTCCGGTTCATTAGGTATGCAATTTGTACCTGATGTAATATCCACATACTCGTGTTTGAAAAAAATTTTTATTCTAATGATTTATTTGCACGTGTAGTGTTTGATATTGGTATGGATTATATGGAACGAGCAATCGATTTTTGTCATTTAGATGATCATATAAGATCATTATATTGTCTGTATTATAGTAGAAAATTAGTCATACGAGCGAATCGTATGTTTCAATCATTTTTATGGTTCAATTTAAAAGCAATCGACGAACACATTATGAGGGTAGAAAATTTATTATCTAGACATTTGGTGCCGGACATACTTAATAATATTTCATATGGTTAAGATGTGATATACCTTGCTGATACTTCTTTCTAGTCATAATCAAAGCTTAATTTCATAAAATTTTTATTAAATCATAAATGACCATCGAAATGTTCTATTCTCTACCGATGGGTTCAGGCAAGATCTTCAATTTATCAGCGGTGGAAAATTTTAAAACAATTTGTTTCGCTCGATTCCACTTCAAACTATCTTCATTTTAAAATACCAGGATATATACATATAGATTTCTCATAAAAATCGAGAGATTGATGCTGATTGGTAAGTTCTCTACAATCTATTTTTATTTACAGAAATTCATCATATCACTGACATAGGACAAAATTTTACTGACTGTCTCGATTCTTCTAGGCATTGTTTACTATAAACAACCAATTCGTCCTTTTTCTTCTTTGAATCCATTTCTATTTCATCATATGATAATCTTTATGAGCGAAAAATGAATACAAAAAAAGATATTTGTCTCAGAGGTATCGAGTCGCTCATGCGTTGAATAAAGAGAAAGTATAAATTAACCAATGTAGTTGACTACATTCGATTGAGGTAAGTCGTTTAGTAATCACTAACATTAACCAATAATTTCATTTATAGTCGCTTCTATACAATCTTCAAATATGAATCTAAGCAAAATCACATTCTTCTATTCATTTCACTGATACATTTATGAACTTATTCAACTCAAAATCATGTTCATTCATTATTGAAATCGAAATATGTAGAATAACAAAGATAATGATCCTGTATGGAATGAACTTTTATGTAGATTTTTACAATAACAAATTTTTAATGCAGAAGATTTGAAAAGTTATTTATGAATGAAAAGTATGTCTTTGGAGATCAAACGATTTATTATATGAATAATGTATTATTTTTCAGAGTTGAATGATGAAATTATGGCAGATCTGACACAAGAAAAGACACTGAATTAATTGTTGCAATTGCTTTCAAATATATACGAAACTTTATTATATAATGTATGTCGATAACAATATTTTCTTATATTTTGAATTGAATCGAGTGAAAATTAAAGTAAATTTTAAGAAAAGAATGCAACATACTAGAGACAACTTTCTTCTATGATAAGAACGAGTTCTTCTACTGATATTGAAGGACAAAACATCTCGAACGGTTATCTGACTATATTGTTGATCTAAGGTAGGTTTCCATGAGACTAACGAAAATCTAAAAGAATTCGAGCCTATGACTTACTGTTGGTGAGTTTAAGCCATTTCATTGAATTATCGATTCATAATAAAAGTTGTCTGAAACAAATTGAGATTCTGTCTATATTTTCTTTTCAAAAGAATGGTAAGCTTTCGCAAAAATCGGGATGATTTGACGATTCAATTATCTTGAGAAAGAAACATTCGTTTGTCGAACACTATCTGATTATTACGGATTTTTTATAAATCACTACATAAATACTTCATGATTTAATTGTATTTCTATTTCATAAAACATTTCTAAGCCTATAACTATTTATAAGTTTTCAATCTATCTTTCAATTCAAAATAGCTATTGTAGTTATTTGATGATAGTTATCATAAAACTCATTAGTGAAGGTTATGACACTAGTCTTTTGGATGAGACATTCAATGATAATGAGTATACTCGAAGGTAGAAACAAAAATCAACTAATACAACACTTACATTCGAGTCAATCAAGATCTGTTTAAACATTTGAATGCAAGCGATAATATAAGTTTATTCATGTTTTCAGTCCATAAAGAGTTATTTAGATTTCAATTCAAGCTATGTATTCTTTCAAAAGTTTTATAACAGATGAAATAAAAGATTGTATTAAATTTAGTGTGTAATTGACGAAAGAATAGCACGTGTCATAAACATAAAAAAAGGTAAAATAATTTCAAACAAACATTCTGCTTGTTGTAACTTTCTAAATGTGAAGTCATGTCTTAATCGTAATATTGACATTGTGAATCATTTTTTACCGTTGGATTTTATCAACAAAACAATAAATGTAAAACTCGAAGTGTTTTTATTCATCAACGATTCGATATTTATGAATATTTCAGCAAGTCGAATGTTCAGTATTTAGCTAAACTTGAGAAGAAATTAAATAGAAATTTATAAAATCGTCAATATTGATAATAACAAGGACAAAAAGAAAACTATTTACTGACTAATTTTTTTTTATGTATTGCTGTAAGAAAGAAATAAAAAGTCATGCAATATTCTTTTTTACTTCTTGTGAGAAAAGATCTTCAACTGATGCTCGCTGTTTTCAATGATGTTTTGTTCATATCTAAAAACCAGTATTCTAAGACGTTTAGGTTGAGGAAGCTTCTTTTGAAGGTTATGACCATTTCACATCAAACCAGATATATGGAGAAAGGTTGAATAACGGAATTTCAATCTGAACTTTCGCTTATATGTAGTTCTTATGACCATTGCAACACTCAAACAGTTTCGGTGAAGAAAAATGTTTCCTTGTTGACAGATCCAGTTTTTAAAAAAAGTTAATCTTTCAAGATTTTATGAGTAAGGAGACAAGTCTTTAAGAATCAACATCTACAATAGGAAACTTTTTTTCCATTGTAACTGTTCGCGTTCCCATGGCTACAAGAACTACATATGAGCAAAAGTTTAGATTCAAATTTCATTATTTATTTTTGCTCCATATGCTTTATGCTGTGTGAGAAAATGAGTAAAATGGTCATAATCTTCGAAGGAAGCTGTATCAGCCCAAAACCTCTTAGGGTTTTTCTTAGGATACTGTTTCCTAAACATGGACAAAATATCGTTGAAAACGGTATGAATCTGTCGAGAACCTTCCCTCGTCTTTTCTCCCCAGGATGCAGCATGAAAGTCTCTGCAAAGTCATATGACAGTACTGCTTGAAAAGATAGAAAGTAAAAAAAAACTTTTTTGACAAGTACTGTAACAATAGATTGCTCACAACTTTCAATTATAAAAATGCAATTTTTTTTCATATTTGTATATCTTGATGTTCAAATAAAGAAAAGTTTCACTGGAATTTTATTGAGCTTGAAAAACTCAATTTTATAGTCATACTTAGTGGTTTTCTCAATAAATCAGACACACGGGATATAAGTGCTTTTTTTTTCGTAAATATGTAACTATAGAACTCATTCGATACTTCTCATTAGCAGCTACAAAACAGTACAATTTGGTTTTTTGCTATAATCTTCTATTCAATAGAAAAACAAAAGTACTTAAAATTTGGCTCAAAATTTGTCTACTTGTCGGTAGACTAATCTCAGCCATGTCAAAAATATGCGTTGACTATGGTAAGACGGTGCGTCTGTCTATAGTCTAGTTTAGACAAAAGATACGTTGTATTTGAATATACATAGTTAATTACAATACTTTCTAAAATAGTACGAAAACTTAGCATTACTTTACTAATGCTTCAAGTATTAGTATCGAAACAGGTACCATCAAAATATATAAATCTCAAAAATCTATAAAGTTTTTATTATAAGCAGCATGTATAATAAACAACAATTATTTATTGTTCCTAAAGTCAGATGGATGTGGACGAATCAAACAGAAATCATACAGTATCTGTGTTACAAAAATGACTTCTAGTCTTATTCCGTAGCAGTTAAATACACTATTTTTCTTTAACGCACTATCATGGAACTAATTGTTCTTACCTAATATTTAACTTCATTAGTCTTTATTCAATATAATCTGAGTTAAGTTGAACAAAGATCTTTTCTCGAATATAGAATACAATCAACTGAGACCGTTAGATCCTGCTTAGTTTAAAATGGGTAGTACAGGGAAGGGTTTTAAAAAATTTGATGCAAGCCATTTGAAAAAATATTGTTTCATTGTTGAGATATTTCAATTTTTCTGAAAGCACTATCGCCGAAAGAGCTAAGTTTTGATAGATTTTTTAGTGACATTCATATCTCACTAGTAATCTATCCGTTTAACTTAGAATTTTTACTGTGCATGCGTCTCAAGTGGATGTACTTATCATACAAAATTGACTTCAAATCAATGAGCTATTAGTGAATTGATCAATACTCCCAGATTATACGATAAAATGGTCGTTTTTCGGTGTTTTGTACATATATCTGTCTCACGAACGGATCAGTTTAGAGAGATCTCATCGGAGAACCTACTTGGATAACACACCGTCGTCATTGCCGTAAATAACTGCTGAAGGTTTATAGATAGTTGTTTTATAAAAATTTTCGACACACAGGATCAGCTTTCAGAAATGTTATTCTCTAGTTTTTTATCAGTAAGCTGTCTATCATTATTTTCAGGCGTTGTTATTGACAGTGAAAACAAGTTACTGCCGCCGATTGATGCATCGACTGACGTCTCTAATTGTTTCTATCGGGAATTATTGTAAAACGCGTTCGTCTCTCCTGTTTTAGTATGAAGATAACAAACAAAAACGGAGGCTTCTTTGGTTTATCAAATCCTAAAACTTTATTTACTTTTTGTAAACAAGAAAACAAACGTGAATTCATGAGAATCCTAACATTGCTACGAACAATCAATACGACCGTACTTTTTTTTTATTAATAATCTTCTCCAAATCAATGAAATGAATATTTTTCAGTTTCCAAAATCTAAGCTGACATTTTGCACAACCTAAACTTCGACTCTGATCTTGAAATTTATTCAGATTTAAGTACAACTTCAAGTTCGAGAGCTTTGGCAAATTTTCGACAAACTTTTTTAAGATAATTATAAAAAGATAATTAAAAATAGGCCATTAGTAGGTAAGGTTAATGAGACTAGACTGGAGAAAATAATCGGTCAATGAACTAGATTTTTAATATATTTATGTGAAAATCGCATATGTCGATTGCTTTATTACTTTTGCCTAATTTTATGAATGACAAACTATTCACTTTAACTAAAACATACGAACTAAGTTTCACTTTCACGTGAAAGACACGAAGTAAATTCGATTTTTCATCCGTAATGTAAAAAATCGTAACATTATAATTACTACATAGAAAATTGATATATTTACTTGTCATCAGCAACAA